GATGAATAAGGATTGAGGGGGGGAGGGGGTGTGGGTATTAGAGAGGAGAAGATGGAGGGGAGGGTGGAAAATTTTAAATAGGGGGATGGGTGGGGTTGTGGTGAGGAGAGGGATTTATGAAAAATTTGTATGTGAGAATGTGGAAGAGGTGTGGTTTGGTTTGGGGGTCGTCGTGATTGTAGTAGTGAATGGGGGAGTTGAGGGGGTTTAGGGGGGGAAAATTGGGGGGGAGGAATAGGGGGAGTGATATTTGGAAATTAGAGTATGGGTGGGGTAGGGATTGAAAGAGAGATTTAAGTGGAGTATTAGGGGGAAAGTGGATGGAGTAGGGGTTGGGGGAGTGGTAGAAGTTGGGGAGGAAGGGAGGTGAGGGGATTAAGGAAGGGGTGGGAATTAGGGGTATGGGTTGATTGGGGGTTTTTGTGGATAAGATTGAGGGGAGTGTAGGGAGAGTTGTGGGGTTTTTAGTGGTGGATGGGGGGTGGAGTAGGAGGGGGTGGGTTGGTTATGGGGGGAGGGGAGGGAATTGTAATGGGGGGGAGAGGGTGGGGGGGAAGTGATGGTAAGGAGTGGTTGTTGAGTAAGGAAGGTGGGGGAAATAGGTGGGGAGAGATTGGGGGGAGTATGAGTGTGGGGAAAAGGGGGAGGAAGGGGGGGAGTGAGAGTTTTGGGGATAGTATATTTTAATATTTGTTGAATAGGGGAGAATATGAATAGTGGGATGGGTTATGTAAAGGGGGAGGGTAATTGGGGGGGGATGTAGAGAGGTATTTGTTTTTTTATTGGGGATGATTAGTGTGGGTTGGAGGGAGAGTGATATTTATTGATGTTGGTTGGGGGGGGTGATGGGATATGGGGTGGGATGGTTTGGGGGGGGGTTGAGTAGATGGGGGGTGGTGAGGTGTAGGTATATTTGGGTTTGAGGGGTTGGGGGGTGGTTAGAAGTAGAGGGGGTTGGGAGATTATAGGTTGGTGGATGTTGTATGATGTGTTTTTTGTTGTGTGGTAAATATTGTGTGGTGGAGTGAGTTGGAGTTGTAGGGTGGAGTGAGGGAGGGAGGTGGGGAAGGTTGATGAATGAGTGAGGGTGTATATGTGGGTGGTGGGGTGGGGGGTGTTAGGAGGGGGGGGGGTGGATTGGATGGTTAAATTGGGGGTGGAGGAGGTATATGGTGAATAATGTTGAGGGGAGGGGGGGGTTGGGGTGAGAAATAAGTAGGGTGGAGGGAGGTAGAGGGTGGGGTGGGAGGGGTAGTGTAGAGGGGATGAAGATAGGGGAGGGTGGAAATAGAGTGAGGTAGTAAATGAAGAGAAAGGATGTTGAAGAGAGGGGGATAGATGAATGGGTGGGTTGGTGGTTGGGTGGGTGTTGGGGTGTGGGGTTAGAGATGGGATGAGTGGGATGGGTGAGAGTGGGGTTTAGGATGGTTGGGAAGTGGGGAATAAGGGTGGGTTGAAGGAGATGAAGTGGGTATGGGATGGGGAGGGGGGGGGGATGGATGATGGGGGGGGTGGGGGGGATAGGGGGGTTGAGGGGTGGGGGGGGGTGAGGAAGGTGATGGGTGGGGGTTTGTGGGGTTTTGGTATAGTGTGGGAGAGGGGGTTTGGATTTGGGGGGTGTGATGGAAGGGGGTGAGTGTTAAAGAAAGAAGGGGGTATGAAAGGAGGTTTGGGGGGTGGGGGGGGAAGGGATAGATGGGAGGGTTAGTTAGGTTTGGGGGAGGTGTGGAATTAGATGGTTTGTTTTAGGAAGGATGGGTGTAGGGGTGATGATTGAATGGTGATGGTATTAGGAAAAAGTGGTGATTGGGTGAGTGGAAGTGAGTGGAGAGGAAGGGGGGGGGGTAGAGGGGGAGGGGGGGTGGAAGAGAAGATGGTGAGGTGGGTGGGGGGAGGGGAGTGGGGGTGGGGGGGGTGGGTGGGGTTGGTAGATTTTGTGTGGGGGTTGGTATAGGGTGTGTATTTGTTGAAATGTATGTGGGTTTTGTGGGGGGGGGGAAGGTGGATGGGATGTGGGGGGGGGGATGAGGGGAGAAGGGGAGTTTAGTGTGGGAGTTGTGTATGGGTGTATGGTGATGGAGGGATTGGGGTGATTTGTGAGGATTATTGGGTGTGGTAGGAAGGTATGGGGGGGTTTGAGGAGGAATAAGGGTAATTAAGGAAGAGGAAGAAAAGTAGTATTTAAAAGATAATAGATAGAAGAATGAGGAGTGAGGGTGAGGTGGGGAGATATGATGATGGGGTTAGGATGGAAGAAAGATGTTTGAGGTATGTAGGTAAGGAGTGTGTTATTAAAGAAGAGGTGGAGGTAGGAATGGGAGAATAATGGATGAGGAGGAAGGAAGGGGGAGATGAAGAGGAAGATTAAGGGAGGGTTGTGAGGGTTAAATGGGTAGTGGAGTGAGAGGTGGGGGGAATAGAAGGGGGATTTGATTTATAAGGGGAATAGATAAAAGGTTGATGAGGTAAAAAGAGGTGATAGGGGTGGGGGAGGGGGGGAGAAGAAGGAGAGGAGGGGAAATAATGAAGAAGGGAGGGGGAGTATTTATAATTGAATGGAGTGATGGAATGTGGGAGGTAGTGTAGGGGGTTTAATTGGGATGTATATTGAAGGGTGATGAGTATAATGGGAGTAGAGGGAGGTGGGAGTGAGTTAAGGAGGAATGAAGTAAAATTTTAAAGTTAGATTGGAATAATAGGGTTATTTTGTATCTCGTGTGGGGTAGAGTGTTCGTTTCGGGTAGTGTGTTGGGCTTGTGCTGTGGTGCACTGGGGTGGGGGTTTGGGGATATCGCGCCCTAACGCAGAATGCGTTTGCCACAGGGGCTCGCATGCGCTTTCATAATGCCGCCTTTCTCAGGGTCTATATCAACCACAAGAGTACTAATCGGGGGCGTTTCAACGGAACATTAGGGAAACTATGGTGTGTTTGCCTGGGGAATATTGTGTCTCAACATCCATGCCCAATGATGATGCCAGCTCCCCTGTTTGATCATGGCACCAAATCATGCCCAGATGGCGCGGCGCGGGGCGCCATCCAGCCTTCCCTTTCCCAAAATCTGTATACGCAGAGCAATAACTAGGAGGGCTCTCTGAAGATGAGGGCCGCTGGGGCATACCTCTCAGCGGTTGCCAATTAATTATCGGCCGCCATCACTGTCCTACTGAGCTGAAACGGCACCAATGTCCGGGAATGGGAGTTTGTCAATGTTTCCTTCTCTCACCATTTTGACGATCTTGGAAGCGCGGCACACGTGGCGCGGTGACTCGCAGGATGACTGGACCCCAACATGACTGACCTACCATACAAAACTACCTTGGGACATGCGATGGGTGTAAGACCCGGTACATTGTTCGATCTTCCAATAGGAATCGCATAGTATGTCTTCATCTATTTCGGAAGGTGGGAGTTAATACAACAACTGGATGGTAAATACATATAGTAGGTACCAGCATCTACGTGATACTTTTTACACATATTAACATAAAACTGTAGAAGTAGTACGGCTGATATGACAAAGTCTACATAACCATCGGAGAAGATAGAAAAAATTACCATGAACTTCTCATTGAAAAAAATATTCCTATATAATAACATATCTGAATCATGATATGAGGGCTAGTATTAACTTTACCATCCGACCCATCCTAATCATGTTAGCAGAAATAATGATTAAAAACAGTGAGTGTAAATATATTAAAATAACATGGATCTATTTTATTTCAACTATTGCATAAAGAACTTTTCGGGTATGGTCCAGGGACTTACAATGCACATAGACTGTCCATCACTGCACACAGCCTGATAAATTGCTCCCTGATTCGAAATGCTGTATGGGAAGCGGGGAGTTGTCCCATTGTGGCCAGAGACATCCAGCCTCCAGTGCTAACAGCACAAGCTCAAAGCAGTGGGGGGCATAGCTCTTCGAGCAGGATTCGCTGGTTTGGTGTAATAGGCCACGAGTTTGAACCAGATCTAGGAAGGGAGACCTGCATATACCAGCAGGACTGTACTGTTTCCGTATATATCTCCGGTATACACTTTCCCAGCTAACAAACACACAGCGAACATGTGTGCCACAAAGACACACCAATACTCCGGGTCCACCCGTCTCCCTTCTGATTGACTCCACTCAGTGAATACAGCGGTAATAATTACAGCCTTGCCGGCACTCACACCTAATAAAATAGATTGTTTCTTCTTAGGGTACATGCATCGCTTGAAAACGATAAGAATCGCTCTATATTACTTGCCAAATTGCGTCTCATCGTGAGGATTCAGCTAATTCATGCTGTGGTGGTTCAGGGGTTGGGCGCGCGATCAGCTCTGGCCCCAGGTGTCATTTCTCAACAAAACCCATAGTTGACTCGTGAGATATTTATAATACGCTTACTTTGGTTGGAAAAACGTGGGTAGGAAGCAAGGTTGTGGTACCCAGGGGCCCTTGTTTCCCCAATAGACTGGGCATGGGTTCTTAGCCTCGCCTATTCCTATACAAATGGCTGAAAGTGAGAGGTGTTACTATAGCTATGGTGTTGGACCACAGGATTATACCCATGATACAACCTCGAAGACACCAGAAAAGCCTTGATTTAAAGACATAATCAGTTTTGTGGTTATTCAATTATTCTGTGTTGTTTAGGAATGTATGGGTAGCTCGGGGATTCAGACTTTTCTTCACATCTACTAATATATGCCAAGAAAGTAGTAATGTAACCCGCAATTGGCCTACAGGCTCAATAATTAGAACTTGGACATGAATTTTGATGGGGGCGTTTCCTCCAAGGACTCCCTTCTCCCGCGCAGAAAGGTACCGCGGAAACAGGCCCAGAAGACCACTAATTCGCTCACTTTAAATAGGGTATCTAATTCACTGCCGGGATGCCCTGTCGAACAACCACCCTGAAAATTTGTGGAGTTCCCCGTGGTTACACCGATCCCAAAGGTCCTTAGGTGTCATTTGAATACAAATCAATATGCCAGTCCATGCCTCGACTTACAGGGCTTCCACTGGGCTTCATCCACACACTCACGTCTCGTGAATGTGGAGATTTATTTCTAGTTATCAAAGTGTTTTAAAGCTGAGTAACTAAAGATGTAAATCAAAAAAATGACTGTTTAAAATATATATGGATCTTCCCTCTCTTATCAAAACCGGTTAATGCTCTAGGTTCCATCTGGCATTATGTTCGGAGTTCTTTAGAAAGCTTTGTCAGAGGAAAAGACATTAATAAAACCATCCAAACTCGCAGGATGTATTAGACATTTTCTAAGATGTACTAATTTGACAAGACCACTTTCTATCCAATTCATTGAACAAACTCATCTAGATGAACAAACAAAAGTTATTAGATAAAGGACTATATAGGCTATCCCCCATCCTAAAATCGTATTATTTAGGCCTTGTTCCTACTCAGTAAAGTATAGGTGATCAAAGAAATCATAGATTACCGAAATAATAAAAATAGACAATAACCAAACCTTATCTCAAATTGCCATCTCAATGTGTACAATGTATCCTGGTCAAATCATATAAGAAAACGAAAAGCAGTTAATGGTGGATCTAAAAGGTTTTGCATACTATTAGCTAGGAGGTATGTTGATGGCTAACAACTCACTTGTTTTGAGTTTCAGATTCACCCCGTTTTAGCATATTCTGGAGCAATACGTCTTAGCATATCGTCTGCGAAGGCATCGTGTGATCATCGTCTTTACGTCAGGGAAACAGACTAAGTTCAATACAGATTCATATTTACTGTTTACTTCCTATTGCATATTGTTCAATGATGTCCATCTGTAGTTACAGATACCTAATGTGACCACCATTTCTTTCTCCTGTTGCTTTTATCCGCACATCTATAGTACCCAGTCACGCAGTTTATATTATATGGCTGGTGTCAGCATCACAAAGCTTTGAGTTACAGTAGTATCAAAGGCCACGATATAAGAAAGAAAAGGACTCCATTATATGATGAGATCGATTGTTAACATCTTGAGTGAAACACCACACTGTCATGCCAACCAGATCCACATTTTAGTCGGCAAAAGCGGATCTGGCAAGAGGATAACTACAGATTTGTTGCATTTTGGTGTTCTCGAGCTTCTCATTTACACACAAATGTTTATTTAGCGCAATTCAGCATGTGTAAGTATGTATATTCTCTAAACCGTTGCCATCACTACCCTCCTTTGTCAGACCCCCTCCAGCATAGTCACACAACGGGTTTTTTACACATTACCCCACTAAAAACATATTAAACCCACCACAAAACAGAGTGCATACTTCCTGAAGCTTGCCAGGGACATGTTCTTTTTGAGGGTACTTCGTTTTTAGCAACAATATTGACATCTCAAAGCAATATAACCCTAAATATGGAAGAATAAATTGGCAAATAATAGATCAGAGTAAAGCAGGGTATGTCTTACTTTAAGAATACTTGAACAACAAGACGAAGAAAATATAGGACATAATGGAACAGTTGGCAAGCAAAAAGGGCCTACACTTTGTGACAATTGATATTGAGAGGGTTGGGTTAAGAAAAAGAGCTTTACGGTAATGATATTGAATCATTTCCCCATAATGACAGCGTGCAGAAGCTATGGATATAAAACTGTGATACAACCCACAAAAGGTGGCACGTGAGCGCCAGTGCTTTGTTTTTCACTGGTCACTGTATGCATCATCGGTAGTGTGGAAGCACAGGTTTCAACCAACAAGTGAAAATGCAGTAGGGAAGGAATGGGATGGACACATGTGTGGCTCTAACGTATATATGATTCGTTGGTCAGAAAACAAGTAGAAATACCCAAAAAACCCATAAAATAACTATAAATCAATATTGAGCCACAATTACATCACTTGGTTTTACATGCAACCATAGCACACCCCGCCAGCGCGGGGAGACCTGAAAACCAAGTATAGCATCCATACTGCGGGAGAATGGGGCCACCGACCCCATGCTCCAGGCCAGGTCGCTCTGGGGAAGAGTGGGAAAATTATGTTGAACCATGTTATCGCCAAAGGACCAGATCTTGTTTTAATTTGTGCAAACTTATTTGTAAGTAATTTGTCATTTACAAAGATAATTAAAGAGTCTATTTATGTATATTGTTGAATATGCGATTACATTCACATTCACATTCTGATAGGTGGATGGATGGGCATTTCCACTCAGAGAAGTCGCCTCTCAGAGGTACTGTCCAACAGAAGTGTCAACATAGAGTTAAGACTAAGATGAAGAGATCCTTTATTTGTTCCACAGTGACAGACATTTTTGTCTTGCATCACAAGTTAAAGAACAGAGGGAATAAGGAGCACACAACACAATATAAGTGTCCGGGGCTAAGACCTATTTTATATTCTAACTCTATATTCTCTATCTCTTTTTTGAGAAGGGTTTATGTTAATTTTGCTATAATTAGTACAAATGTTGCCAGTGAAACAAAGGGAACATGCAGTAACAGCAGCTAACTGACCAATCCAAGCACAGATATTGTGAGAGAATCTCACACAAGTTCCACCTGTGCACAATACAGGTGAGTGACACGATGGGCCACACAGGGTGTTTGGACGTTGTCGGTGGGAGTGGGGCTAAACAGCAGTAACTAAAACGAGCACTCGGAGAGCACATACCCCGCTAACAAGCGGATCGCTCCACAGCTTGAATGGGATGTTCTTACCATCACATCCCTTCTATACACCGAATGTCAACACAATCTGTCAAGTAGTTTGTACGCAATTCTGCCTACAGAATAATTGAATATAAAATAATTGTCCCTAGTGTCCAAAATGACTCAAAAA